GGGCTAAGTGCGACGCCTGCCCTCCACTGTCTATATCCTCTCATTGGGATATTGTAAACTCACTCACTTCAAGTTTATACACACATCAAGCGAATTCTCGCCCCGAATGGCCCCTTGCTCACGGAATAATCGTTTCGCAGTTTTGTCAATAGTATCTCGGTGAGAGGGCGCAGACAGCCGGAAATGCGTACCATAAACTGCCCGCTCCCAACTACGTTAGCACCCACTAAAGCTGCAATTCACTGTTCCAATAATCACACGGACCTGTTGAAGTCCTCCATAACGCTGGCCGGTAACTTCCGATTAATCCAGCCTGGGAAGCAGCGATCATTCCATTCAGCAATTTGCTGCGAGTGCTGCAGTAAATTCGCTCTTGGCATTAATCAGCGTTTTATCGATGAGTGAACCTTTAAGAAAAGATAGTAAAGGACATTCGATATGACTACAGTACTACACTGCAATACGGGGGGGATTGGAAGGAATCGGTTGCCTCCGCAATTACTGGACAAGAAAACTTACTTAATATGAGCTCGGACATCACTAGAACAGGCATGATGAGAGAAGTCACAAAGTGGACACTCATAGAGACGTGGTTCCTTGAGATGATGTCGATAAACATGAATCTGGAAAAATCAATATATCGATTTTGTACTGTAGTTGTGAAAATTCCGCAGGTACCTGACGATCTTCGGTTTTCATCTCTTGGAAACACTCCTGACATGTGACTTTGGTTTCATCACTGACCATTGTTGAATCTTTCCGCTTATCAAAAGTACCAGGCTGAAACCACATCGAATATTGTAGGAACAGAAATGTATAACAGATCCAAATACACACATATTCTCAAAGTCGAGGAAATTTATAACAAATATGAAAAAATAGAATCAAAAATAATTGGCTAACACTTTAATACTGACCTTCATTTTTCTTGATGGGAAACACTCAGAAAATCGCTGCTGAACATGATCTGGGGTTAGTCGAATTGAGTCGGATCGAATCCGCGTTATTATGCGTCTTAAAAAACAAGTAGTCACAAAAATTAGTGGAAAATAAATTTACGACTTTTTCAGCGGGAGGACTTCATTTTCGACCTAAGAGAGGATAAGTCAGAAGGATGCTTATCGTTCACAATTGAACGAACGAGTTGCGTATTAGCTATAGACTAACGACAAACTCGGTCCCTGCCCCCGTTCAATCTGACCCAACGAACGGTCATCAGTGGAGGGCCGGTGTCAGACTTTGCGTATCCGCGAAGTTGCAAAGTCTGACAGCGGTCTTAGCAATCCGAGGAGCAGACCGATGTCAGACTTTGCGAATCGCTAGCTAATCGCTGGATACGAGCGATTCACCAAGTCTGGCATCGACCATACAGCGTTGCGCCAGCGCTTTGAACGATGCGAACCAGCCAATTTGACTGCAGACGTTGGCGCAACTCTCGTACTTCTCGAATCGCTTAGGCCGGTGTCGGACTTCGCGACTCTATGAAAATACAATGGAAACGTCTAGCGACATTAGCCTTTGAGGCACCCGCATCCTCACTCCTTCCATATTTCTGCCAAGCATAGTTCCTCACCTTGACCATGTGCGCTTTCACCTCGTAGGCATCTGCTGCTCCCCATTCACACATCGCACATTGAAACAGCGGCATGTCAAGATGATCTTTGGCGACGTGTCGGAGAAAATTCGATGTGGGCTTGAACTCCTTCAGACATAACTGCAAAAGTAGAGCTGATTTCATTCGGGTAATATGAAAGCTTGGAGGAATAGCAACGATGCGCCATTTACGGTGCTTTAAAGCACCAATCGTTTTTGAAGAAAGGTACGACGCAAAGAACTGTGAGCGAGTCTGCAGGCGGTCGCCGTTCTGGTGATAGTATCGATACATCTTGGCTGTGAAGAATGCAGAATGAAACCAAAACTATTCAAGGATGGGGCTTGATTGCTCAAAACTGGTCCCGCAACGTCTTCGCACCTGGCCAAGCCATCATCACGGCCCGCCTCCGCCCATCTGCTGTAGTTCGTCGCCCTTCCTACAGGCTTCCAAAGGTGAGTTCATGTTCAGTTCCCTTTCAGATATGTTTAACTAGGACCAGTGCTTCTCCCCACCCCATTAGCGACTAATGCTCGGAACCCTGCCTGGACTGTTGCTTTAAGGCGCCAGGGCGTTTGGAGCCTTCGTACGTCTGCAGAATTGGCAAAAAGTGACTAACCCGACATGTCCACTCGCTGACGCGCTTCATGGGTTGACCTACGTGGTCCTTGTTCTGATGGTCCAATGATTCATCGTAAATCGAGTCTTCCTAAAAAAGTACAATGACCATAAAATCACTAGTCATTCGATCAAAATGGAGCTACCCAGAGTAGCTCAAACAAAAAAGAAGCCAGTCTGCAATGATGTACGCAGCACACCAGTTACCATTAAAGGATTAACGCACTTCATCATTACCGGTCGAACTTGGGGTGCTGTCTTTGGCACAATCCGAAATATTCCCGAAACTGTCAACATCAATCTCGAGCTCTTCATGCTTCATCTGAAACTCACAGGCATTTCTTATATACATACAAATCCTGATTAAACATCTGCAGAAGAGGCGGTGGCAAAACGCGTTGGTTTCTCATGCACAATTTATGGATCAAATACCGCCCACGCCACTTTTTCACCCACCCATTATTGAATTACTACCGTGAGTCCTTGCTGGGTGTAAACGCAACTAAAGTACGTAGCACCTGCCCTCTGAAGATATATTTATCCAAGACATGGCGCACCTCCAAAGTTTGAGAAAGGAGGAACGCTTGCTAGCGTTTTCCGCATGAGCAGCTAAACCGAACTAATCCGCACTGGGTCGCCCCAAAACCCTACGATTCAGAACGTCCAATCGATCTACCTGGTTCATACTTGCTGATCATTACAAAGATCTTAGTCAATAGCTTCAGGAACTTAGGGAAGATATTCTCGTGTACCTACCTCAGACTTCTTGTCATCGTTGTCTAGCCACCAAAATGGTTTTCGACGGTGCTGCCAACCAGGGAAACATTCCTCGTTCAGGTGATCAATTTCTTTCCTGGAAATAAAAACAAAATGTTTTTTGAAGTTGAGCTACTGACATCAATGGGAATCATTTACCACTTTTAGCCTGCCTAGAATAGGTCTGGCAGACGTCACCGGCCATGAATAGCTTTTCTTGTAAGGCAGGGTGGTGATCGCACTTGGTCGCACTATTTCGAATTCGGAATTGAAAAGCTGGCCGAAGAGGACGCCACCGGGAAAAAGAAAGCCCCAAGCAATCACAGAAGACGGTGAAAATTTATCTTTGTAAAGTCGACCATGAACACGACGAGAGAGACAGCGTGTTAGTCGAGAAAGCGAGAGGGTCACGATATGCTGGATTAGGAGTGAGTCAGCGTCGCAGCGCCCCAAAAAAGCGTAAGGCATTAAACTCGTTGACGAGCCACTTCCATGCTCGCGGCCATAACATACCTGCTGTGTAAAGGGTCCTGCTTTCTCTCCCTGCAAAGAGTTTCCTCTGAGTGATCTAACCGCGACCTGTGCCTTTCGATCGAATTACCAGCCCAAAGATCACATCGATTAGTACCCATGATAACAGAAATGAAGCCCTATCAGCAAAGAGACGCTTGTGACGGTTGCGCGTGATGATCTGATTCTATTCCCACAAGCTGCATCGTTGTAGCTTCCTGACCATCGCGCACCGCATAGCACAAATACGCACGCGGTTATCGAATTTTTTTATTCCATCGCCACGGTGTGGCTACTACGTAAAATCAGACTATGGTAGGTTTCGGTCAGCCAACACAATACCCTCTCTCAAATGACGAGAAGAGCGCCGAGTGCAGACCATACACCACAAATGACGACAGCTTTAAAGTGAATCTGTTTAGTAGTGATTCATAGTGATAGCTGATTTTTGGTAAATGATAGCTGTAATTAGTGACAACTGATAGAATACAACTGCAACAGGCTAATCATTTCATTGGCAGAAAACATTTACATTTTGTGGAGGCCGTCGTCACTTGTGGTGTATGGTCTGCACCCGACGCTCTTCTCGTTTTTTGAAAGGAGGGTATTTATATTTATCAATTTGTTCAAATTACTTTATAACACCTTGAAACTACATTTTTATATTACATACATGCTTAACAATAATTCTCAATAAAATATGCGCGCAGTACGTACCTGTACTCATTTTCGTGGGAAATCGGCTCCAGCTCCTTGTCATCTTTGTGCATCCATTTAATGTGCCATTTCACTCTAGAAAAAAAATATTTTCTAGTTCGTACCTTGTCAATTCTGCGTTTCCACTGAAACCACGGCCTTACCTATGAACGTCGTAATTCGACGCGAAATTGCACAACGGGCATTCAAAAATCCGTGTGCGCTGTAGATGCCTGTGATATACGTGCCGTTGACGATCGGATTGCGCTACCTAAAAGGTATACTGTAGTTCCTAAAGGTACTGCACGTTCTTCCCACTCCTCTGCGGCTCACCTGTGTCCCACATATCTTACAGTGATGTCGCTCTCTCGGACGAGTGCTCTCCTTCGGCCGGACGAGCTTCATTGGACGATTCGGAAAGCAGCGATTCTGTAGGTCTCGGATTTCGTCTGCGTACCGTTCCAGATTGCTAAGCGGCTGCGCCTCTGGACAATCAGGGTGTACCTGAACGTTATCCTTCGATCAATCGTTACAGTAGACCAATGACGTCATCGTAAGCTCACCTTATGAATGTGTTTCAATACCGTACACCCCTCATAGCTGCCGAAACCCTCGCACACAGGACACTCGTACAACGGTTTCTTCAGATGTTTTTGCGCTATGTGCCGGCCGGGATACCTGGAAATTGAGCGCTCCACATATTGGAATTGAACCTTGGACAACCAGGAGACCAGATCTCTTTTAGTTGGCAATTTGAACTTTCTCTTACCGGCTCTCCTCCCAGCATAAATGGCAGGTACGATCGTCCACATGAAGTCCTTCCGGAGCCGGTGTTCTCGGCTCAGAATCGTCCCGATCTTCATCGCGAATTATTGAGTCACCAGGCTCCACGACGAAGAATCGCTTCCTAAAGCGGTTTAGATCGCTTGATAACTTTAACATACTCCTGTTCAAAAATATTAAGGACCCGATGTACAGGATTTTCATAGCCCACATAACTCTGAACAGATGCAGAATTCATTCAAAGCTATTGCCTTAACTGAATTGAATCGCTGTGCTTTCTTGGGCGGAAGTGGTGTAGTGGCAAGTGGCACGCTTACCACGCGAGCGGTCCGGGGATCAAATCCTGGGTCGTGAGTCGCCCGGGCCAACCAAGCCTTCCATCCCTCCGGGGTCGGTTAATTGGTACCAGACTTGTCTGGGAGGATAAAACACTGACTTGTACATCGGCTGGCCCCCGCAAGTCATTGTATAGGCCACATCGCATTCAAACGCCACTACGAATGTACAAATGGAAGTAGAATGCGTGCCGCATCCCAAAAAGGGATTGATCAACGGCAAATGCTTTATCCCTTTATC